AGGGGCGGTTGCGGGGGGGGGGGAGGAGGGGCTAACACGGGGGCCTGTCCCCTCACAGCCCTTGCTGCCCGAGGGAGGCAGGGCCCAGAACAGTGCTGGACTCGTGCCTGCTGCTCCCTGCAGTCGGGGGTAACTAGCTTTGTTTTTTCTTCTCCCAGGCTCATTGCCAGCACCACAGCCACGGGGCCCATCTCGCCTCCATTCACAGTGCTGGAGAAAATAAAATGCTGGCCCATTACATCAAGAAGTACTACAAAGAGAACTGTGCCATCTGGATCGGACTCTCAGACCCTATGGAGGTGAGTGCCCGGTGCCCGCTCTGCCTCGGGCAGCCCCTCCCCAGGCCCCTGGGCTCTGTGTCTCTGCTCAGTGAGGTTGTTTGGGGCGGGGGTGCCACAGAGCAGGATTTCCATGGGAACGGGGTGAAAAGGGGCTGTAACCGCCTGGGTTTCCCATCACAGGGTCGATCCCCAGCGCCCGGTGCAGAGTATGAACTGCTGGTATTAATATTCACATTCGTGACACTAGTGCCCAGGGACCCAGCACACCGGCCCATTGTGCTCACACCATACACGCACGGCACGAGAGTCAGCCCCGCCCCACACAGATGAGACGTCTGGACGAGGGCTCGGGGAAAGGGGCAGCCCCACGGGCAGAGCGACCAATGCGAGGGCACAGAGCACTGGGAGTGCTGCCGCTCTGTGTGTATTCGTCCTCAGGGTGGACTTAGTGAGGGGGGGTCACCTGGCCAGAGGCGCGTCAGCTCCAGGCCTGTAGGGGGAGCCCCGGTGGGTCCCGATACCCACCCGACAGGCTCAGGGAAGGGCAGTGACTGGGGCTGGCGGGAACGGGGAGGTTGCAGATCCCCCCGAGATACAGAGACTTAATCACTTACAGCTCAAAGTGAGCAACCGCGGCTCTTGTTTGGCCCCTGGGCCAGTCCAGTCGCCAGTCAGGGCTCTGCAGGCCAGTGCCGCGGTGGAGGGGGGTCTCCAGTCCAGACTATAGTTCAGCAAAGGGGCTGGTTTCCAGGTTAGGCTCAGTCAGTGTCTGTCCTTGAGGCCCTGCTCAGTCGCTGCGGCTCCCCCATAAACCCTGCACAGAGCTGCCCCCGGCTGCAGTGTCTGGCACTCACAGTCTGCTCCACACGCTGCTCCCCGGCTCCTGGTGCTGCTGGTGCTGCATGCTGTTCCTCGGTGGGGTCCTCTGCATCCAGCTTCTCTGCTGCTCCGGGCTCGCTGTGCCGCTGCTTGTCCCCGAGCCAGGCCAACCCCTGCTTGTTAATCCACACACCCAGCTGCCGAAGCTGAACGGGACGTTTCTGAGACCTCTGCGCTGGGTGCACGTGGTGGGTGCTGCTGGCCCTGCTGGTCAGCCGGCAGCTGGAGAGCAATGCCGCCGGTGGGACCGATGGGAGATGGGGGAGCTTCGTGGGCAGCACTGCTGGGCAGCACAGACGCACCCTGCTGCAACCGCTTCTGTGTGGACCCAGAGTGTGGGAGAGCCTGGTGTTTCGGGGGGCAGTGACGGCGCAGACTCCTGCACGAGGCTCCCTCCAGCCGACAGGCTGTCGTCACTTTCTAAACATGCCTGACTGCTCTTGGCCTCCTCACTTCTCACCGTGATAAAATGCCAGAGACAGAGACCTCCTGGGCCACGTCGCAGCCTTTCACCCCTCGGGGGGTCAACTGAGCCTGGGGCAGCGTCAGCCTCTGCCCCTCCGCAGCTCCCCCTGCACCCGCCCACTGAGGAGCTGCCAACCGAGGGACACGGCCCCGTACAAAACCCTGGGGAATTAATAACCCAGAACTCCCTTCAGGGACAGGGAAGGGGGATCAGGACCCACCCGAATCCCTGAACGCACGGACAGAACAAGGGGATTGTCGCCAACATTCCCGGCTCCTTCCCATCGGCTGAGGTGCTGGCAGCCCACTCCAGGCGCATACGACGTCTGCTTCCCTCCCCAGCAAACAGCCCAAGGGAACACACGATAGAGGTGGGGCCGTGGGTGGTCAGGCTAATGGTCGGAGCAGGAGCAGGAAGCGGATCCAATACAAGGGTCAGAGCCGGAGTCAGGAATTAATAGCCAAGCCGAGGGTCAGAGCCAGGAGGGGACCCAGGCGGCACATCAAGGGTCAGCGCCGGAGCCCGGGGGCAGGGTAAGGAAGCCGGGACCAGGAGCGAGCCGAGGCGGCCAGGACTGAGCAGGAGCAAGGCTGGGAAACCAGCAGGAGCAGGAGGAGGAGCAGGGCTGGAGCAGGACAGGAGCCCGGCGAGGAGCAGCAGCACAGGGAGGATCGCGGCCGTGGCATGACCACACTGAGCAGCCAGAGAGCTGCTGGGCTAAGAGCCGGCCAGCTGCCCTTCCTGCCCAGGCAGGGGGTGCAGTCAGTCGGGTGGCCTGCAGCCGGCTGGCTGCGCTGGTTGGGTTGCCAGGTGACTCATTCTGCTGCAGCCCCTGATCCCCGACAGTGCGAACCCAGCTTCATCCAGCGCCCCCATCCCCCAGACCTACCGCCGTGATCTCTGCAGCGGGGAGCAGAGTAACTCCCCTGTGGATGGGCTTTGGG